CACATAAACACTTTCACTCGTTCAGGTCCATTCCACGACCAAACTTTTTTCCATAAGCTAGTGTGAACATCTGCTGGGAAGTTCATAAGATTACAGTAAGCGACCTTAACCAAAGAAGTTGAGTGATGATTATTGATCCAAACTAATCTATCCTCCCCATTCCTTGGAATAAGCCTGAGATGATTTGTTACTGCATCAGCCAAATCTGACTCCAGAAATTGATGAACAACTTCAAGACGGAAACCATCATCCACCATGTAATCTGCAATTGATTTCTGACTCTCCTCCCACGGCACCTGATTGCTCGACAACTGCTGCAAATTTTCCTCCCATCCAACCAGTTATCAGTCCAAAGCTTTACTTCAGAACCGTCTGCTATTTCCCATCTAAGACCAGCAAGGAAATTACTCCAACATTTAACAAGATCACGCCAAAGTTTAGAGTCATATGATTTTGCCTTTATACCTCTCCTTAAGTCTTGACCTCTACCATACTTGTCTACTAAAATCTTAACCCATAAATCATCTTTCTTAGTTAACACCTTCCACGCCAGTTTATGAATATAAGCTTCATTTTGGAGTCGAAGATTAATTATTCCCAAACCACCTCTATCTTTGGGTTTATACATTTGATCCCAAGCTACTAAATGAGCCCGCCTTCTGCTCTCCTGATCTCCCCAAATGAAAGCCCTTTGTATCTGCTCAATTTCATCACAAAACGTTACTGGTAAAAGATCATTCTGCATATGGAAAGAAGGGATTGCAGCAATGACCGATTTCACCAAAGTAACTCGACCAGCAAAAGAAAGGCAATGGCTTTTCCAACCATCCAGTTTTGAACGTATCCTATCCTTGATAGCTCCATAGTCTGCTTTAATATATCTCCCTTGTTTAACAACAGAGCCTAAATATTTGCCAATACTAGAAGTGCGCTTAAAGCCCATTCTGTTGACAATCCTTGCAGCAACTTGAGTATCAGTATTCGGGGAAAAATAAATCAAAGATTTATTTGCACTAACACTTTGCCCCGACATCTCACAAAATAGATTAATACAATCCATAATCACCTTAGCTTGCTCCATATCTGCTTCCGCAAAGAGAATGATATCATCTGCAAATAAAAGGTGGGATACACTCGGCCCTCTTCTGCAGACTCTAATAGGCTTCCACGAACCCATAGTCACTTTTTCAGCGATCAAGTGGGAAAGCTTCTCAACACACAACACAAAAATATAAGGAGAGATTGGATCCCCTTGACGAATTCCTCTCTGAGGAACTATGCAATCCGAAGCCACACCATTTATCAAGACCCTCGAACGATTAGAAGTTATAGAAGCCATTATAACACCAATCATCCAATCAAGAAACTGAACTTCAATAAGCACTTTATAGATAAAACTCCAACTGAGTTTATCATAAGCTTTTTCAAGGTCCAGTTTGATTGCCATTGTACCTTTCTTTCCTTTTACTCTCCCCATAGAATGAACCAGCTCCTTTGCTACTATAATATTATCCTGAAGCTGACGATTTGGCACGAAGCTAGCTTGGTAAGGAGAAACTAAATTCTCCATTGTAAGCTTAAGCCTATCCACAATGATCTTGCTCATACCCTTATAAATGACATTACACAAAGAAATAGGCCTGAATTGAGAAACATACATTGGCTTAGGAACTTTGGGGATCAAAGTGATTAGAGTACCGTTGACTTCCTCAATGCTGGAAGGGTTTTCTGCGTAATACTTGATATCTCTGCAAATCTGTTCACCAATAAATTCCCAGTTCTTTTTGTAGAATGTTGCGGTATATCCATCCTCCCCTGGAGCTTTTGAATCTTTCATAGAAAAGAAAGCTCGTCTGACTTCATCTTTTGAAATTGGAGCACCTAAGTTAACAGCAGTCTCATCGTCCACCTTTGGCTAAAGAGTTTGGACCCAAGGACGATCATGGTTTTCTTCAGAAAATAGTTTAGAGAAGTAAGCATTTATTACCCGTGCAATGTTGTGATCTTCTCTAATCAAGTTTCCAGCATCATCTTTCAACTCCAAGATCTTGCTCCTTCTACGTCTAACAATTGTTTTTGTATGATAGTACTTTGTATTCCTATCTCCTTGAGCTATCCAAGTAGCACGAGACTTTTCAAACCACAAAAGTTCCTCATGTTCTAAAACTTGTTCAAGTTCACCCCTTATCTTGCCTTCAATCTTTTCCAAATGGCTTTTATTCTGCTCAGAAATTGCCCTCTGGATACCTTCAAGCCTACCAATCAACCTGTTCTTCTTATGATGGATATTACCAAACACATCTTTATTCCACTGCTTAATAAGAGGAGTGAAATCACGAAGACTATCAACTGTTCTTTGATCCTGACGCTAGTTTTCCTTGATGAAATTGTTAAAAAATTGATGATCCAACCAAAAAGAATGAAAACGGAAAGGGCGTTCCACCCCATTAACTTTGCTTGGCTCTAAGGTAATAAGGATAGGATTATGGTCACTGTTAATACGAGGAAGCACTCGAACCTGGCCTTCATGAAACATCAACCTCCATTCAACATTGCTACAAGCTCGATCTAAACGTTTAAAGACTCTATCTAAATGAAGAAATCTTGGTCCTCGCCATGTAAATTTAGAACCTATTCCTTCAAGATCAATCATCTTTATATCAGTTAGAATAGAAGAAAATTTATTACATCTGCTAGTATCAACTAGAGCACCGCCACGTTTCTCACTTGGAAAGGCAATTTCATTAAAATCACCTGCAATACTATTAGATCAAAATCTCAATAGAAAAAATAAAATAAAATAAAGCTAGTTGAGATTATAATCTAATAGTATTGAAAATGATAAGCAAAAGTAAGCAAAAAAAGAGATAAGTAAAACTACCTATCCATTTACTATCAATGGTAGAGAAATGATTTCTGCATCTTTTATATGACCAAAAGCACCTAATTTTAATAGTTTTGTTTTATACTTTTTTGGTAAATTTTAAGAGAAAGGTTATTACAACCTATTTTCATTTACAACCTTATACAACTATATCTTAACCGTTGATTTTCGTCAATCAACGATTATAATTTATTGTGAATTAATAATTAATTAATAAATTTGATTTACGAAAAATCTTAACCGTTGATTGGCAGAAATCAAATATGGTTGTGAGAGGTTGTAAACAAAAATAAGTTGTAAGTATAACATTCCTCAATTTGAGGCCTCAATTTTTAAACAGTATTAATTTAAATATTTTCTAAAAAAATACAATGCTACGTGGAACGGCAGATTGTATGTTTGAATGGAGAAACTTCCAAAATATAAATCCAAACACAACCAATTTTTTTAAAAAATAAAAAACACAACTAAATTGGTTATTCACTTTAACTTTTAAAACACAACCAATTTAAAACTCCTTAAACTTATTACTGTTTACATTACAGGCTTTTTCACCTTTTTGTCCCTCATTAATTATTTAATAACTATTTTGCCCTTTATTGCAAACTATCTACCAATCTGTCCCTCTTTAATCGATTAAATCAAAAATTTAATCGATTAAATGATCAAATGAAGATTTAATCGATTAAATCTTCAACTTAATCTATTAAATCTTCCAATTTATCAGAAGAACAACCTTATGTATGGGAGATTTAGTCGATTAAATAGGGAGATTTAATCGACTAAATCTTCAAGTTAACGATTTTTGCCTATTTTGATCATTTAATCGATTAAATTTTTGATTTAATCGATTAAAGAGGGGCAGATGGGTAGATAGTTCTGAATAAGGGGCAAAATTATTATTAAATAATTAATGAGGGGCAAAAGGGTGAAAAAGCCTTACATTACATCTATATTTCTTTATTGGAAAATCTTTATTTCACCCACTGTGATTTTGGGATTTATCATTTGACCACATGTGATTTTAAACTTATCAGTTAGATCCACTGTGCTAAGATATTTTGTCATTTAACCCCCTATGGTTTCAAATTTTCACTTAGACCTCTTGTGGTTACAAAAAATTTCACTTAAACACCTTGTGATTACAAAAATAAATATTTAAAACAAAAATTCTCTTCTTTTTTTTATTTTATATCCTCACCTAATGCATTTAGGATTTAAAAAATAAATTTTCTTTTTAAATTCACTTATTTTTATCAAGAAAATAAATTCAAATCAAATATTACTTTATTTTATATATTTTTTTTATCCGATATCGTTATAAAATTATCTAAAGAATGTAAATATCTTATTTTGATAATATATATTTAATTTATCTTAAATAATATTTTTTTATTTTCAAATATATTTTAAAAAAATTAAGATAATTTATAAATTAATTTCAGAATAAATAACTTGAAATATTTTTTAAACCATAAATGCATTCATTACATGAGGATATAAAATAAAAAAGAGAGAAAATTTATTTTAAAATTTTATTTTTTTAAATATTTATTTTTTAAATCACAAGGTGTTTAAGTGAAATTTTTTGTAACCACAAGGGGTCTAAGTGAAAATTTGAAACCATTTGAATGACAAAATATCTCAGCACAGTGGGTGTAACTGATAAGTTTAAAATCATAGGAGATCAAATGACAAATCACAAAATAACAGTGGGTGAAAATGGAGTTTTCCTTCCTTTATTTGTTAATATTTTTTATTCAATCCAAACACAACCAGGAAAACAAAAAAGCACAACCAAATTAGTTATTCACTTTAACTGCTAGTGATGGGATTTGGATTGGGATTTAGTAACAAACTTTAATTTATATCTGACCTTACGTATGGTCCAAATTTTTTTTTAAAAAAACGGAATCCTTAAAAAAAGTCAAATAAGAAAACTGTTTCCAACCTTCAAAAACACCAGAAAACCATGAAAAATCAAAGAATATCGAAACGACTTCGTTTTTTTTGGTCTCTTATATAATAATATGTTATTATCTCTATTGTTATTTACTTATTTACCGAGAAAATTAAATAAAGTTCAGCTTTCATTTTCATTTTTTCAATTCATCCACACACGGCAACGTTGATATTTTGATCAGGCAAAGAGAGAGAAAGAGAAAGAGAGAGAAACACAATCAGAAAAAGCTCTCGTGTTTCTGGGTTTTTGGAATTTTCAGCACCCATCAAACCCACCATCATTAAAACTGCAATCGGTGGCCAAAGTTTGGAGCTTTTTGGATCCAAGATCAAAAGGGTATCTCTGGTTTTCGAACTTTTGATGGCAAATCTGTATGTGAAGGCTGTGCAACCAGCGGATCTGAACAGGAACACGGAGTGGTTCACCTACCCTGGCGTGTGGACGACCTACATCCTCATACTCTTCTTTTCATGGATCCTCGTTCTCTCCGTCTTCGGTTGTTCCCCTGGCATCGCATGGACCAGCGTCAATCTCGTCCATTTCCTCGTATCTATGCTTTTTCTCTCTTCCTATTTATTTTCTTATAATTCATGCTTTTCTGTTTTTTTATTTATTTATTTTTAAATTGAATTTTGGGTCTTTGTTACCTTTTTGATTTGGCTTCTTTTTTTGCCTATGATAACCCGTTTGAAATTCTTGCAGTGTAAGGCTTTTTTTGGGTGTGTATGTGTTTATTATTATTATTATTATTATTTTTTATGAATGGGGTAGGTGTTTGTCTTGTCTTGGTTTTTGGTTTTGGGTAAGTGGGTTGTTGATTGGTGAATTGTTCATGGAAGGGGCAAATTTGATCCGTGTTCAATATGCTTGATGGTTGAATCTTGAAGTTTCAGGTCTTGTTGGCTTTGTAAGATGAGAGACTGAATGTAATACTATTAATCTTGGAAAGATATTAATTGTGCTGGACCTGGAGAGGGTTGAGATGTTAATTTATTGAGTCATACATAGTTATTAAGTGTGGGAGTTGTTTCTTCTTGTGGGCTAATAAATGCTAAATGGTTCAGGATTCATACTTTTTTGTTTCATTCTTGATATTCATAAACATTAAGAAAGAGAGATAGAGGGTAGAGTGTTCATAAGACATATATAAATTAGATGTATGAAACCTCTGCCACCTTACAAAATCATAATCCGGAATTGAAAGTGAACGAACAATACAACAGTAATTTGCTTCTGTTTTCTCTTGTCACGGGTGGAGGGTGGCCCCAATTCCTAGTTTTGTTACTAGCAATTCGTTATTTCTCCTTTATAATCTTGTTCTTGTTCTTGTCTAGTTCTCCCATGGCTAGGAAGTTAGTTACTCCTCTACATTCTTGTTATTGTTCTCCCTTGGCTAGGAAGTTAGTTACAAGGAATGTGGAACGAGATGGGAGGCTTATATGTTACCCGGAAAAAAAGGGTTGGCTTTGGGATAGGCTACTTCAGGACAACCCAAGATGTTATATTTTATTAAAAATTTATATACAAACACTTTTCCCATTAACCAATATATATATAATCTAATAAAAAGATAACAATTTCTTATTAATCTTTGGGATAGGCTTATATAGCTTTGCTTTTAATATGCTCTAACTTTCATGGCTTCCCTCTTTCTTTTAATGTTCAAAATTTTCTTTCTTGCTTCTCTTCTGTTTAACTTTAGAAGTACGCCAGTTCAAGTTTTATGATGCCTCAAAAGGTGTGTCCATTCCTTCTAAAATATAGTATTTGATTATTAGATTGTGCTTTGAAATAGAACCTAATATTTCTTATCATTTAATGTTTGTCTTACAGAAAGACTTGGAATGAATTGTTTGACAAGATATTTTTTCTTCATCTTCTTTCGTTTTTTGGGGTAGGTGGGGCTTTTATCATGTGTCTTGTTTAAGTATAATACTGAGGCAATCTATTTCCACTCAATTATTTCTTGGTGAGGTTGTGGCAGGGCTTTTTTTCTTGCTAAATTGTGTGATTGGATCAAGTTAACAATTAATATTTTGTTTGTCAATTATTGTTTTTTAATGAATGTTGAAATAATTTGATCTTTCTACGTGGCTTGATTATTATGTTGTGTCCATCAGGTAACATATCACTTTTTCCACTGGAAGAAAGGAACTCCATTTGCGGAGGACCAGGGGATCTATAATAGATTGACTTGGTGGGAGCAGGTAGACAATGGAAAGCAGCTCACTCGTAACCGGAAATTTCTAACAGTTGTTCCCTTGGTGCTGTAAGTTCTCCTCTAATTGCATCCCATTGTTTTTATATTTAAAAGTGTATGTTCCTGGTGATGTCATAGGGTGTATGAATTTTTTATTTTTTTATCTGCAGACTTGTTATATGAACCTGAATTGGTCTGCACTCATTAAAATATTGTCTACACTGGTGCAGACAAAATTATCTGTGTGCATTCTTGATAGTGTTATTATAACACATGCATTTCATAATATTTTTTGGTTGATAACTTCTTGTGGTGCAAGAAATTGCTACATGTGTGTTTATTCCCTTCTTCTTATGTGAAGTACATGTCTCTCAGCTGTGATGTAGTCTTATAAGTTACATGTATTTGGAATTACTGTTGTCTTGTAAGTTCTCGTTTATATAAGTTACATGTATGTTCATATCTGTATGCTTCATAACAATTGTGTTATGGCAATTCCACAAGCAATTGCTAGAAAAAGGAATTTGTTTTTGTTGGTGAAAAAATAAAGAAAAATATAAAAAAGGCTACCTATGAAAACTTCTATACAGCTCTACATCATTCAATTATGATCTGCAATTTACTTGTGGTCTTGTGTAACTTCATCTATGTCATTGGATTGTGTCTGATGTCAAAATCAGTCTGCACTATTATCCTTGCATTTTCTCATAGTTTAGTTGAATCAGCTTTTGAATTACATTTGTTTCCAGGAAGAGTTAGGGTTTTCTTAATGCCATCAATTTGCAAGGAATGAAAGTGTGAAGCATTGCAACTATTAATGCAAGGAAGCAGAATTATGCACTTTTAAATTCTACTATATATTACAATATTACTTTGTTGATTTGTTCATATCATAAGATATTATAAGTGAGGTTTGTAAATCAATGGGTAGCTAATACTACGCGTTCTTTTAATAGATATCTTTTTGTTAGAAATATAGTATGAATAAAAAATGGGCATGTGCATTATCCACGTTTCAAATCAAGGGCTCTTGGGTGAGGGGGTATGTTAGAGATATAATATATAAAACTAATATGGCCTTCACTTAACTCAAGCTTTTGGGTTGCAACTTCACTCATCATCTTCTTCCTCCACATCATTGACTTCAGACTTTGACTTGTCAGACTCATCTTCCTCTGAAAGGTTCTTAACTCCAATTTCCTATTGTAGGCCAGAATATTTCTATCATACTCTTCTTTCTTCTTCCCTGCCCTGGAAATGTAGCGAGCTTACTCAGCATCAAACATCGATTTCCATTTGTCACCGCTAGCCTTACCAACCACGGCGACAACTTTGTTGTTTGGATGTTCCTTGTGGTGTTCTATGAACCCGGACATGAAAACAACGAAGATGAGTGACGAAATCGTGAAGACTCGGTTCGAGTTAGAGATTCTGAGTCATTGAAGAATGCAGGGTTTTGTGATATTTTGAAAATGTTTGGCCTCGTCATCAATCCATGTGCTATAAAGCCATTGGCTGTCGTGCTTGCCTTGGAATCGCTTATGGTTTCTTTGTTTTCATGTCTGAGATCAGAGAGCAGTACAAGGAGCATTCGAACAACAAATCCATCGCCGTGGTTATTAAAGCTAGCGGTGACTGATGGAAATCGATGTCTGATACTGAGAAAGCTAGCTATGTTTCCGGGGCAGAGAAGAAGAAGAATGAGTATGATAGAAATATTATTAGAGGGCAAGAATCCTTGAGAGGAAGATGAGTTGTCAAAGTCAAAGTCTGAAGTCAATCATGAGGAGGAAGAGGATGACGAATGAAGTTGCAGGCGACATAGAAAGAAGCTTTAGGTGATAGTGAGAAAAATTGTTTTGCATAGGTTGGCTTAGAATTTGATAGGAAATGTTTCCCAATTCACAGCTCTCTCTGACAATTAGCTCCAGAATTCTTATCCTGCACTTTATAGTTTTAGGTTAGTGCACAATCCTATCATGATTCTGTACTTCAAGTCAGTGCTATGTATGATACGTTTTAATTCTATTCTGGATGAAATGCCATAGCTTCTTCATTTCCAAAAAAAATAAATTGGGCCTATGCATTATTCACGCTTCAGGAACAATGTTTCTTGCATGAGGGGGTGTCTTAGAGATATAACACAAGTAGGTGGGCCTATGCATTGTACACCTTTCAAGCCCAATGAGTTCTTCTGGGAGGGCGTGTATTAGGAATATAGTACAAGTATAAAACCATTCATATCTGCCTTCACCTAAGAGCTCAGGCTCATTTATTTGTGTTAAAAAATTCCATAATATTTATTAGAAGAATGGAGGGTAGTAAGGATCGCCTCTTTATGACTTGGTCATAGAGTGAATGATATGAGGTGAGAAATGATAACTGATAACAAGGTTTCTACAAGGACAATTTCCATGTCAATACCATTTGTATGGGCTGCTGGTGTGGGTAACTTTTAAAGGGATTTGAAGTTAGTGCCCTAATGCTCTCTCTGAGTGTGTGTGTTCTATTATGACCTGGAAGGTTTCTATTCTTCTTGGTGTCTGGGGTTCAACCTGATCTGCTATCTATTTTTTTTTTTGGCCAAACAACCTAACTTCATAACTTTAATTTTGAGGATTTTGAATGCTTTTGATAGAATAGTATTAGATATAAAAAGAAAAGAGTACAAACCCCGAGGATAAGAAGTCCTTCTTAATAAAGGCATAAAGAGAAACAAAGAAAAGACAGACAATCAAGCTAAAACAAATCCCTTTGAATATCTGGTAAGGACACCCTCTTGAAGAGACAGCGTAGTGTGCCAAAATGATGATCCTGTACCATAGCAGCTATGTTGTCTGGAAAATATTCTTGAAAATGAAAGCATTTTGCATGCCAAATACTCAAATGAACGGGGTAAATAGTACATTGCCAAAGACACTTTCCCTCCTTAGTGCCACCAAAATCCCTGAAGTTGACCGTTGCATCTAGATTAAGAGGTACACCCATTTTGTTTTCCAAAAGCTGAGGATTTCAAAAGCAAAGGAATTACTTTTTATGGAAATGATTTGAGCATCAGCTAGAATGTTGTATCACTGCTGCTTCTCAATGATTCAGGACTGTCTTGATTGTTGTAGGAGTACTTTATGTTTCTCTGGGTAGTTTTCTACAATGAGAATGATATTTATCTTTGAGGTATCAGTTATTAATTTAAACTTATTGGAATAAGCATGTTGCATTATTTAGTGCAAGCAAGGTTGTCAAACTCAAATTTACGTTGGTTTTGGATGTACTCACTGATCATATAAGGAGCTAGTGCTACATTGCATTGCATGGTTTTGCATATGATATAATCCTAGTGTGAGAGTGAGGAAAGGAAATAGATGGTAAACTAGAGCTGTGTAGAAAATCTTTGGAAGCACATGGTCTCTTATTAAGTAGAAGTAAAATGGAGTATTTGGAATGTAAGTATTAGAGATATTATATAAAACCGTTAATGCGACCTTTTTGGTTGAATTGATTTCTTGACATGGTATTAGAACTTCTTTGACCAAGTAGTCATGAGTTCAATTCTCACTGCTCTCGTTTTCTAATAATAAAAAAAGGTTAAATCAACATTAGGTGGGCCTGTGCATTATCAACGCTTCAAGTCCAAGGGCTTTTACGTGAAGGGGAGTGTTAGAGATATATATAAAACCATTAATGTGACTTTCATTTAACACCTTAAGCTTTTGGGTTGAATTAATTGCCTGACATTAAGTTCAACACACACTAGCACTAGCTTAGAGTTGAAAATTTGAGATCGTACTATTTCACAAGTTGCAAGACTTAAGTATTTTGAATATATCATCCAAGATGATGAAACAATTAAGGGAGATGTAAACCATAGGATTCAAGCTGGGTGGATGAAATGGAGAAATGCCATAAGTGTTATTTGTGGAGCTCACTTAATTCATGTTTAGTTATCTTGAGAATGTACATATGATTTAAAAATCATTAGTTATTTACTGCTTGATATTTTGTGATTGCCAGGTACTTGATCGCCTCACACACAACTGACTATCAGAACCCAATGCTCTTCTTCAACACCGTTGCAGTGATTGTGCTGGTTGTTGCTAAGTTCCCCCATATGCACAAGGTCCGAATTTTCGGAATCAATGCTGATAAGTGAAAAATCTGTGTATCCCTAAAACTTGGTTTACCTTCTCAAGAGCCTCTTGTCCTTCTCTTGTTCTGGAAAAGGCCATACCTTTGTATAGAAGACAGAACTGGAAGGATTACTCAAGTAATGTTTTGTTGCCAACTGTTTTTCTAAGCTGCTTCTAAGGTATTAAACAAATAAATATGTTGAGTTATTTCTGTACAGTAGAGAAAATATATGTATCGGATTATAACTGGTGCTTTCAAATGTACCTTCCTTTATTTCTTATCCTCTTTTAGTAATGCCTTAGAACTGATATACAAGAATGGTCATTTGCGTTTGCATTAAATTTTGTTTATGAAACACAATTTTGTTTTATTAGAAATAAAACTCTCTTTTCTTATCATATAAACATAAGTTGAAATCTATTTGTTGGAAATTTGAGAAAGTGCGTGTATATGTTAAGAAAGCTATGATGTCATGGAATATTGGAATATGTATAAAATACAAAGGCGTACCTTGAAACTTAAATGATCAAATTAGGCACAAGAAGACCGTTTAGAATTTGCAGTCTGAGACAAGTTGATGGTGCTGTGGAAACTGGAAAACCAGAATTCTTCACACTATGTTCAAAACGTAAGCATATTCATATTTTTAGTAGCTATATTCTCATACTCACGCACTTGTACAATAATCAACAAGTTTATTTATTTACTATTTTACTTTGTAGAATAACACGTTAATTTCATTTAAAAAAGTTTTAATTTTTTTAAACTCATTATTCAGTCCATGTTTGATAGCGAAGTCCAAATGGATATTTACTGTTAGATTACAGTATTGCATAGTGCATTTTCGGCCCAAATATGAATGTTTGGCTTCATGATGCCAGGACCAGGACCTGCTGGAAAAGTGAGACTTATTTTGAAAATGTTATATAAATATCTTATAAGGGAGATTATATTTATAACATCTTTTTTCTTATAATTATTTTTCTTATCATTTGATCAAAATTATATATGGTTAAAAAATATTATCAAATGAGAGACATTAATTTGATGTTGATCTAACAGTAATTAAATAGTTATAAGAGGTTGTAAATAAAAAAATTTGTAAATATAATTTATATTCTAAAATTAATTATTTTGAAATTTTTATTTAAAACATTCTACACATCATACGAAGAAAAATCATAGCAACCCTCACGCTAGCTGCAAGACCATAATTATTCTATTTATCCTTTTTTATTTTATTTGGGATGTTTCCCTTCTGAATTACTGTGTGTAAGACCATAATTTGATGTTACCTTGTTGCTTGTAAGAATAATCAACAAAAAACCCTTGCATAAGTGTATAATTATCTATGGAGAAATAACTTTCATGTCACATAAGATACCTTCGGTCATGAAATAGACATAAAATGTGGGACTCATCTGTTTTTTTTTTTTTTTTTTAAAGCCTCAAGGCACATCTTTTGATTAGTGCATAGTAGATATGTTTTTTCTCATTCCAACATGAAAAAAACATGGGTTTTATTAGTGTTATGTAACATAATGTAAGTGTTGTTTCCAACTCTCACATCAAAAGGGAGAGACAAAATGAAATGATGAAAGAGAAAGAAAAACATGTGGACCCCACATCTTTAATGTGTGTGTAGGAAAGTGAAGTTATATTACGTTAAATGATAAACATAAAACCCAAAAAACATACCCCAAAAGCAATCTTGTTACATAAAACGACAAAGTAGAATTATTAGTTTAAGGGAATTATTATGTCATCAGTTTCAAGAGCGGTTATGAATTGTGGGAAAACATTTTGGTTTTCAAAGATGAGTGTCTCTACGTACGTACCCTAAGGAGAAGAAAAAGAGAATGGCGTAAGAAGAAGGCCAACACATGAGGGAAGGTATTTTGTCCCTCCAATGGAACTTACTCAAAGTGAAAAACACAACGTAAGAACAATCCTACATTTTATTAATTAATAAATTGTCCACATGTGAAGACATTGACCTAGCCATTGGTATAATAAATAGTTTCCACTTGCACCATTAGAATGTTTGAGGGTCCCACTATACCGAAACAAGTTGGGCTCTTCATAGTTTTCTTTAGTCCTTCCACATACTATATTTAACAGCAGGTGGATGTATGACATACGACACTCATTAAATTGAAAGTCTTCAAATTATATTAATCTGCAAGTGGATGACACTTATATTAGGTTAGTGTTTAGTTGGGGCAGGTAATCATGTTACACATTTTTGGTAAATATTTTAAAGATGAAAACCATCGTAAAAACAACATTTATTTAATTATCAATACAATGAATAAAGCAGTTGCTTATCCGAATTTATAAGAAATTTAATGAAAAAACATGTGAGCTAATTTCTAAGTCTTGTTTTCACAATCCCTCTTTAAAAAAATAATAAATTTTGAGTTCATTATCCTTTCATGAAGAAAAAATAGTAATTAATTACCGAATTCTTCTTATTTTTAACAGAAAAATATTTCTGCAGTTAATGCAGATAAATTATCTGCATTTACTTCCAAAACGACATCGTTTTGGGATCGAAAGATTAGAAAATTATAATTATAAAGACTATAATAACCTTGAACTAAATTAAAATTACAAAAACACTAGGATTTCCGTCCCAAAACGACGTCGTATTGGGCTTACTGCAGATAACTTATCTGCTGTAACTTCAAAAAAAACGAACCCTATTTTTAATTTGGTCCATCGTGAAATTTTTAAAAAAAAAGCTTATATAATTTACATATTATAAGATCACTTCAAAAGAAATATTTCTTTAGATAACTTACAAAATATAATTAATGACATATGTAATATATTACAATCCAATTTTCAAGATTTGTCCAATGTTTAATTATAATACTAGCTATGTTCATTAGAAGTGGGTGTGACATTCCTAATTCAGCTAAAACACTAAGACCATAGAACACTCTCTTGCCCTTCCTTTTCAGTTTTCTTTTCCTATTATTCTTCCGAATAATTCCACTAAGTGCTTTCATAGTTGGAAGAATCTCAGATGTGATAATTTAGACAACAAAGCTGACAACCCACTAATTCTTGCAGGCACAGAGAAAGAATAGAGAGCTGAAAAAGACCACAAAGCAAAACTCAACCAAATTTTTATAATTATGGTTACACTCACAAACTTGAACAATTAATTTGAACATTTAATCATGGTTACACACCCAAAAGTCATTTCAACCACAACTTTGAAATACATATAATCATAAATGAAGGAGATTCTGCTTCTTAATTACAGAAGAATTCATGAATACAGGTTGCATGCCATGGACAAAATTAAAACAGGCCCAATATTCACCTCTTCTTCTTCTTCTTCTCTCTCTCTCTATATATATATATAACAACCAAAATGAGATGTGAAATCCTCACATTGCTCAAATAGCAAAGGAAGTGTGTACAAAACAAAGTAACCATGTGTATCCTATAGTTAGTTCTGAAACAACTTCAGACAAATGATCCATTTGAAAAGAGAGAGAAAAAAAAAATAGGGAAGAAAAATAAGATAATGCATTAAGTTCTTAAATATTAGTTTCCTTATTCCTCCCATATTTCTTTCTTTCTTTTTTCTTACCATGACCCTTCACCAATCATTCCATTCCAATATCCAGTTGAATTTCCTTGTTCTTTGTTCTGATCCACTTCAGCCTGCTTCACATCTCCAAAAGGGAACAAAAGTCTGCTACCATTCTCTTGAACTTGATGATCATTATAGGATCTGTTTCCAATCCCATGATCAACTGAAAATCCAAGGTTAGGTTTAACTTCTTGCATGGGATTAAACCCAGATGGGTAAAGAGAGTTTGAGTTTGGCATCAAGGAAGAAGGAGCATAAGGATTATTCAAACCCCTAGATGCCATGCTAGACCTAAGTAGCTCAAGAGCTGAAAGAGAAGTTGGTGGTGCTGAAGAAGAGTTTTCACCATTGTGCATCTCAACATATGAGGACATGCCATGATGATGATGATGATGATGATGATAATTCTCCATAGATGGGAAAGCCAGATTAAGATCTTGGCCTCCATGCATTTTATTAGGGTTTTGGGAAGAAATAGCTGAGATTGAAAGGCTTGGTGGGTTTAGGTCTGGAACTTTTGATGAAGGTGTAGCTGATGATGATGATGATGATGATCCTGTGGTGACCCTCTTGTTCTTTCTGGAACCACCACCAACTGGAACATTTCTGAGAGAACCACCATCTGTCCAATACCTTCTACAAGTCTTGCAGAAGTATCTGGGTTGTGTGAGGCTATAGTTGTTGTAATAACAGAACTTAGTGTTGGTTGAATTGCACCTTGGACAATTCAGTTGCTCTTGTGGCCTTGCTTTCTTCTCTAAAACTTGCCTTGTGCATGAATTGGGAGTTATCCCCTCCATGACTCTGAGGAACCCCAAAATAAAGAGAGAAAGGATAGCTACAGTCACAGTTTTCATATGGGATAAGAATCCATAGCATATAAAAGATTTCAAGGGCTAGTGATTTTAAGTTTACATAACATATTTTTTGAGATAATTAACATTAAAATCAAAACAAGGTGGTTATGTCATGAAAAGTGTAAAAAATAAAATAAAATAAAATGTAGAGGATTAGAACTTGAAGCATGAAAGGAATATTAATTAATAATTAATAATAACAAATAGTATGATCTTCTTTAATTTTTCTGTTCTTTTACAATTATCACACGAGCAAAAAGGGTAAGGAAAAGGAAAATGAAAAGCAGTGCTAGCTTTTGTGTTTATAGGACCTGATACAAAACAACCTTTGGTAGAAAAAGAGAGAAGAGATATATATAGAGTGTCAATATAGATATATGTAGTTACCATGAACATCGTCTCTTAGATATATAGCTAGAAAATGAAATCAAAGATACAAACAACTCTTAAATCTAGTGAAAAAATAGATATTTATGTGTCAGCTTTTAAACAACCCCTCAACCCTGAATAAATAGCTCAGAATTGTGCATCAAAGAAGAAAAGACATGAATTCAAAGAAAAGAAAGAGAAAAGCAATGGATGACTTGAGAGAGAGAGAGAGAGAGAGAGAGAGAGAGTTCACACCTTGTTTGTCTGCAGCTGCTCCTTAGTGCAAGAAAGAATGTTTTGGTTCGTTTGTGGGGTGGCTTTATGTGTAGGCTTACTTTATGAATGCTGCAAAGGAAAAAGATAAAGAGAAAGAGAAAGAGAGAGAAGTGTGTCTGTTTTGACTACACTAGGCAGTATCTCTTCATTAATGATGTTTTAGCATTTAGGACACTATTTTTAATGACTATTAATATGCTATTTTTCTTTTCTTCATATTAAATGTAATTCTAAATTGGTTTCTTTTTTTTATTTTCTTTATAGTATGCTCTTTTTTTTGTGGTGGTGGAATAATGAGTATGTACTGTAGTGGGTTCTACTTTTTGAACGACAGACTCTTATTAGTGGTTCATTTGTCAAACCTTCTTTTTCTCTAATCAAGTAACTTTCTTTATTTTTGGCCAGAATCAAGGACCATTCTTAAGCAGTGATTTTTACAGGGTTATCGCTAGCGGTAATAACGGGCTGGGTAGAATTTTGATCTTAAAAAATTATGTTTGTGTTTAAATATATGAGTCTAGCTTAGCTTATTATCTGTTACCATCAGCCTGTGACATGATTTATTTACAAAAAAATAAAAATTTGATTTATCCTGTTAGTTAGCTGTTAAAAACAATAAAACAACAAAAATTTATACAAACAGAATATATGATCAACAACACTAATAATTTCATAAGATGAAATGGGTTGGAGAGAGAGAACTATTACAAGTAGTATAAAAAAATAAATAAAAATAAAAGTTAATATACTAGGTTAGCCTGAGAGGCTCTAAAATTGAAGTATGAGGTTTTCTTACTAAATGAGCTTTTGTACAAATTCAAGATTGATTCTAACAACTAATTTTAGACATGTAAGTTCAGACCTCACAACAAGCCAAACCAAAGACTACTGATTCATTTACCATTATCAGAAATATTGGATTTCATAGCTTAACTTCAATTCATGCCTTCCTTAATTTAATGTTAACATTTTCTCCAATAAACTCTCCTAGTTTTCAGCTGTTACATGCACTAGGGCTTGCTTTCAAAGTAATCACGCTCATTCAACTCTCTGTTATGGTGATTTTCTTCTTTTCTTTTTCTTTTATTAAATTTTATTTGTGGTGCAAATGTTAGAATTTTTTTTATTTCATCACCCTAGCTAATTTCTTTTTTAAGGAGAGTTTAGTCCCCTATATCCATAACCCGGCGGAGAAAGGGACCCGTACAAATATGAAATTAGGGCTTGTTTGGTGTGACGTATAAGGCATGATAGTATAAGCTTATACTATACGTTATGACATTTTCAGTTGTTTGGTGTGACCATCGTATAGTATAAGCTTATACAGCATAATCCCTTAATACATCAAAACGATGTATAACTTAATCCGGCCTAAGGGTGAGGGATAAGACCTGATAAAAGATTGATGTATTAAATGTAATTCTCAAAAATTAATATATTATTTTAATATCAATCTATTAAAATAAAAATTAATTTTTTAATATAATTTTTAAAATATTGAATATTTTTATTTTTATAAAAATTAATTTATATTTTGAACACACTGATCAATAAATTTTTATAAAAATTAATATCATATGACATTTTTTGAAGAATTATATAAATTCTTTATTAAAGGATATTTTTATTAAAAATATTTATTTTGATCATATATCGTATTATACAGTACATTACCAAATACTAGATGATAGTATCTTATACAATATATTATTTTATACAATACCGTGCCAAACGCTGGATAGTATTAAAATTCAATCAAGTCTTATACAATCAGGTCTTATACTATCAGGTCTTATACTATCAGGCTTTATCCTATACTATGTACCAAACATGCCCTTAATGTTACGACTTGCAAATAATTTGATGTAAGGATGGATGATGTATTAGACCTAGCCTACCTGTGCTAAGAAAAATCTCAAATATTTAATTATTTTTATTAATAGAATACATGCGATGAGTATTGAACTCATGACCACATCAGCTCTGATGTCATATAAAGAATTATTTCAACCCAACAACTTAATTAGATAAGGATGCATTAATGATTTTATATTTTTCTAATAAGATAACATGTCAAACCTGACCAAGCATCTAAGATGTGATGAAAATGATTTGCATGTTTAATATAAGTAATTATTTTTATTAATTATTATCCTGGTTTTATTATAGGAATTCTATTTTCTCTTGTTGTTGGATATAGTTATCTCCTACTATAGTCACATAATATGATGGAGCCCATCACCTATTAAAAAAAGAAAAATGGTGACATAATTTTTGATGTGAGAATAACATAAGATAATTATTTCATATAAAATAAGATAATGATTTTCCTTTATTATATATATAAAATGTTAAATGAATTTTCTGTAGTAGGAGATTCATTATCTTATGCCAAGAGATAAAAAAACATATGGGGCCCACATGTAAAAAAACAATAACACGAATTTTGACGCATCAGTAGGAGAAAAAAATGGGGACAGTGACCAAAATGCCACGCTTTGGCAAAACAATTACCAGAATGCCACGTGAACAGTAAAATTTCTCAAACTGCCACGCGGCATAATTCGCTACACAGTGTAGCGAATTATGTATGCAAGTAATTCGCTACACAGTGTAGCGAAATATGCCACGTTAGAATGTACAGAACCAAAAAGTGTCATGTGTCAGAATTGTTGAAATTCGCTACATAGGGTAGCGAATTTCAACAATTTTGACACATGACACTTTTTGGTTCTGACGTGGTATATTTCGTTACACTGTGTAGCGAATTATGCCGCGTGACAGTTTGGCAAAATTTACTGTTGGCGTGGCAGTTTGATAATTTTTTTTGTCTAAACGTGGCAAAATGGTCACTGTTTCAAAAAATTGTCTATAGAGTCATTTAACTCATATATAAATGTAATTTTCAAGGTTTGTTTGTTTATGAAAGTAATTAAATTGGTATTGCGACTTTTTTTATTTCCTTGGAGTTGAGACTAATTATCACTTGAAACATCGATATTATTTCTTCCCACAAGTGTTTTTCTTAAATGAGTAAGCCACTAGCATTTATGCAAACGTCATTTTAGATGAACAAATATAGGAGCGATATTTGCTAGAAGTTTCTTTTCCTTTATAATATATATTATTACGAATCAAATTTTAAAATTGGGGTCCACTTGGACCATTGGTCGAATGGTAACATGATTGTTGTCTTTAATTAGTCACCCAGGTTTGAGCCTGCACTAGGCACGAATTTTTCTAGTAGTTATACAAAACCTTGGTTAATTACTACTTGTTACGTTGGGGCACTATATATCAATCTATATATATACAGATAACAACTATAAGAGTAAAGAAATTTGAAATTATATTTTTCAGAATATAACTGCAGCTCACGAGTCTAAGGATTTCTTCTAGTTGGAGCTTGATTCAAATTGTTTGAGTTAATTTCCATATATGTTTGATATAAAATGAATCACATACATGAAATAAGTTCCTATCACATAAACAAGTCATTTCATAAATTTCTATTTTTACTAAAATTTTAGTCTGAAATATATAGTCATATATTTGTGAAAATTGTTAGAGGTCAACCGAAATCATGCTCATGAATGCCACTTTAGAGAGCAATGAATTATTCTTTTTCTTAAATCTTTTTAATCTTATAGAAGGTCTTACAAATTAACTTAAGAAACGGAGAATGAAAAGAAATAAGGCACTAGCTAATCGAACTTATGACATCAAATATACAACATTAAAATCAATTTGTAGTTAAGATCATGTGCGATATCAACTTATAGAGTGTCCAATGTGTTGATAACTCACATGACTCAATCTATACAACTAGTTATTGCTCATTGTTTACGCATTGATACTTCATATTTGTAACTAAACACGTATACCATCTATTTTTAAGAGAATTGATGATTAACTTTATTGATCTTCTATTCATGACAGCTATGTGAGGTTTGAATTTAGGGTTCTCTCATTAATAGGGATGCAATATTTCTAAGGTTATACATTAATAATACCCTACTTTTAATTTATTTGACACCTTCTGAAGTACGTGTACAGAGTGCATGCATCTCGATCTATTGCTAAAATTGTAGTTTTTCATATACTAAAAAAAAAAAAAAAAGTTTTAAGTTTTTCTTTGCTGGATCATCGACTTGTGAGTTTGATCTACTTTTGAGCGAACAGTTTTAATACATAGGGAGGGCATCACTACCCGTCATTACTAAGACAAATAAATCTGTACTAGAATGTGAGAAATGTATGACTTTTTTTTTTTTTTTTGGGTAAGCAAAATGTATGACTTCTGTTCTAGAATGATTTTGGGAAGCAATATGCTTAAATAAAATCTAGTTTCTTACTTACGAAGCAATACCTCATATTGTACAATTATATACGTTCATCTGGCATTCATTTTGTAAAAGAAAATATTTATTCATGAAGAGGTTGAACCAAAGACAAGAAAATTAGAAATTAAATATAATTAATGTGTTCGCTAATTAATTTTAGTAAATTGAGTGATAAAAATACTAATCATATTGATTTGGGTCACCCTTGTAATTGTTGTCTTGGTGGATTTATGGGAATAAATATTTAATGCATCAAATGCATTGAAGATTTAGTGTATCTGTCCATTCGTTGTGTAACACGTGGACAAAAAACATCATGTCATATTTTTTTTTCAGATGACATGATTTTTTATCCACGTGTCACAAAATAAATGAATAGATACACTGAGTTTAGTGCATCTGATGCACTAAAGATTTATTTGATTTATGAATGCGTATCTCATTATATGTTTGTATACTCAAATTGCATATTTGTTTTATATTGTGCATGACAATGACTCTGTCCGGTTTCTCCAAATAAATATTTTTTATTTATTTATGTATTTTTGAAAGAGTTTTTGAAAATAATATATTTGATATAATATAATTTGTTTCTATTCCCATTGGAAAAAAATATGTATTTAATAAATAATGTGTATTTAATCTTGATAATATATTTTACGATATGTGCATTTAATAAA